AATAAATTTGCCGTATGTTCGCGGCATTCTTCTGGTCATTTTTTTTTTGTTTGCCCCAAAAGGTTTGCTTCTGGTGGCGCTCCTCTCTCGGGGCCGCCATGGGCTTCGCCGTGGCGGGGCATCGCCTGAGCTGTTCCTTGCACAACTGAAGGTGGTTTCCACAACGGTCGATGAAAACAGTTTGGCCGTCGAAGCGACTGCCGGTGACATCGATGGAGTGACACACCGGCTGTCCACAGTTGGTGGCAACTCCGATCGGAAGGTCGGACACTCCCCAGAGGTGCCAAACAACTCCGGTGCCAGCGATTTCTGAAAAAAAATGGTGTCAAAAAGCATTGACACACTTTCATTTAGGTTTGGCTGAGGAGAAGGGACGGTGTCCGCCCTGAATTCTCGGTGTTGAATCCCAATGGGAGAGGGTCTCCGATCTTTTGCACACCTCGACTCCACCAGATCAGGAACTGGCCTTACTACTAGTAACAAGAAGCTATTAGAAACAAGTGCATCGCTACTAGGAGCAAAGGGCCTTACTGGCAGTAACAAGAAGCTATTAGGAACAAATAGCTATCAGAAACAATAAAAGAGATCAGTTGGAACTGGCCAAACAGATGCTTCGGTGGAATAGAATCACCGTGTAATGCGGTCGTGGAGTCAGGTTAGAGCTCGTGGAGGGCTGCTTCCTACAGGGCGTCTTCTACGCGGAGCCTCACATGATGCGTGGACAACATTCATGGGTTGACCCACAGAACGTGTCGTGTGTGGCCTGTGGAGGTGTTTGTTGGAATCTAAACGAATTGATTTTTTGACACCACGACAACATATGACAACTAGTCATACCCTTGGTGGTAGTAAAGTAGTGGTATATAGATTTGGCAAGTGGCTTCCGTGGTCTTTTATTCTCCAATCATGAAATTCTTGAGTGAAACTGTATGAACTGAGGATGCCGGGCACCGAGCGCAGTAAGATGCTCAGCGCCGTTGAGTGCCAACGGCGCTGTGCCAATGTCGAGGGTTGCCGACATTTCACCTACTGGCCCGATGGTGGATGTACCTTGGTCTTTGCGCGTTACGCGTTGATGATGGATGAGCCTAAAGGTTGTACTATCTACAGAACTTACGAGGAAGCAGTTCTTCAACTAACTTGGGAGTATAGCAAAAAAGAAAGGGGCAGAGGTGATTTGAATATGTTTGGTACGGGGTTTTGGGTTACAGTGGAGTCACGGGAATCGGTGTATCTTGAAGATCGCTTCTTTGCACCGAGCTAGAGGAACTTTGCGTTGGTTCACCACCAAAACGGCTTTCGTCGATGCCCGCACTCGGTTTTATGTTTTTCCCCAAGCGGTGCACTTTGTAGGTCAGTCACCAGCTGATGGCCTCCAACCTACTAGCGATGGCCTCCATCTTCAGGCCTTTTCTATCCTTTTTATGGAAGGTTTCAACCCCTAGTAGCGTCCTTGTTACTAGTAGCGATGCCAGGAGCCCCTAGTAGCGTCCTTGCTCTTAGTAGCGATGCCAGGAGCCCCTAGTAGCGTCCTTGCTCCTAGTAGCGATGCCAGGAGCCCCTAGTAGCGTCCTTGCTCCTAGTAGCGATGCCAGGAGCCCCTA